CTTGAAAGGGAGACAAGTCCTGTCAAACATGGGACTTGAAGTGGGGCAATTTGCAAACACTAAAATTTTATGGATTTTTGTTTTGAAAATTTACCTATTAAATATGAGTCTCATGTTTAATTAAATTATTTAATTAGCCCAAACTTGGTCCACTTAAATTATTTAATTAGTCCAGCCCAACTAATTAAATAAAAAGATAATTATTCCTAATAAAATATATTTGAAATAATTATTTTATAGATAATCATCACAATATAGCCGGCCCGGCCCACTTATGATTTTGTCCTTTTCAAGAGAGGACACGTGTCATCATCCTATTAAACCAAGAAGCCTATAAATAGAGACCTGGAGAAAGGAGGAAGGGAGTCCAAAAATTGAGAGACTCATAAATCCAGAGGGAGAAATTAAGAATTCTAAAAATCTAGAATTCCAGAGAGAAATATAAAAGCTCTGCTGACATTCATCCCTAACACCCAAACCTGAAGGCGAAGAGCAACAAGCACATCAAATCGTGTCGTTCTTTATCAAAATTCCACGGTGATCAACAAGAAGCACATCAAATCATGCCGTTCTTCATCAAAATTCTACTGTGATCAACAATAAGCACATCCAAAGCCGTACCGTTCTTCATCAAATTCTCTTTGAAGGCGAAGAACAACAAGCACATCCAAAGTCGTGTCGTTCTTCACCAAATTTAACAAATTCTCTTTAAAGACGAAGAACAACGAGCACATCAAATTGTGTCGTTCTTCCTCAAATTCAACAAAGAACAACAAGCACATCAAAATTGTGCCGTTCTTTCCCTCCTATTCAATAAGTTCAAAGAATCATCAAACAACACTGTTCGAGATCAAGCTTCGTCAGTCCTCAATCAAAAATCATTGGAGATCTTCTTCAACTATAAATACTTGAAGAAGATTGTCAACAACCCGATTCAAGATCAAGCTCCAACAGCATTTGAATCCGACCAACAAAGGAGATCGAATCAGAAAATATTTTCTTTCTTTTGTAAAGAATACCTCAGAGGATTGTATTCAATTTTACAAAAATTAATAAAATTCTATTTGCTCCCTATTTTGTTCTTTATTTGCAGACTATGAAATTTGTGTGTACAGGGTTGCCCAACCCAAGTTGCATCCCTACTCGTTAAGCACGCTTAACTATGAAGTTCTGATGGCTTCATGGCCATCACGGCTTTGAAACATGTTGTGTTATATGGATACGGATCCTCTCCTGAGGACATCTCTCTCCTGCTCTCTCCAAAACTAATCTGAGGGCTAATATTAAAACACGTCATTTGCCACATCTCCATCTCCCCCCCTCTCTCTCTCTCCTCAACCTCTTTCTCTTTCTAAATCTTAGATACGAGACCAAAATTTTCTCTTCCCTTTTTAATAACTTCCATAGGTACCCAAATTTCACTTGCAGAATTCGCCGCCAGGGTTCTTCTTGTGCTTCTTCACCATTGGTTTAAGATGATATATTTAGAAAAATAATATATACACACATATATAAAAGAAAAAAAAATGATTAATTCTGGAAACAAAAATAATAATAATAAATAATGAAGAGGAAGATAACGATCTTAGATCACTCTCTGCACGAGGAAGACCATCTTCAGTTCGTTTCAGTACCAACTCCAAGTGGCTTTCTTCATTCAGGAACACCGTTAATGACGGTAACAAGAAGAAACACTTTTCAAAGGCGTGAGGAATTTTTTTAGCAAGCATCGTTGCCAACTCCATTCATTATTTATTATTATTATTTTTTATTTCCAAAATTAATCATTTTTTTTCTTTTATATATATTTGTGTATATATTATTTTTATAAATATATCATCTTAAACTAACGGTAAGAAGCACAAGAAGAACCCGGCGGCAGAGGATTCTGCAAGCGAAATTTGGGTACGTACTGAAGTTATTAAAAAGGGAAGATAAAATTTTAATTTGGTCTTGTATATAAGATTTAGAGAGAGAAAGAGGTTAAGGATAGAGAAAGGGAGGGATGAAGATGTGGCAAATGGCGTGTCTTAATATTAGCCATCAAATTAGTTTTGGAGAGAGCATGAGAGAGATGTTCTCAGGAGAGGATTTGCATCCGTGTCATATAAGGATGTTGAACCTACATACAACACTTTACTCTTCTATACCCAGGCGATGTGAGACTTGTAAGCACACATAACTCGCACCAAAGCCTAGCTTGCCTCTCACATGCTTGCTCTCGCCCACCGAGCCTACTCTGGTCTATCTCAAAAGTTCATTTAACAAAGGAATTAAAAATTTATTATGAAATTATTTGTGTGCTATTATCATGTGGAGTGGAGTGAAGGGGTCATTTTCACTTATATTCCAAAATCCAACCGGTTACTTTAAAGCCATTTTGTTTAGGTTTGGTAACCGAAACCTGATTTTCTCTTAAAAGTCTTTTACTTTATATTAACTAAAGCTCTTTATACTTTTTTCATGTGTGACTTGTCTTTCTAATGTAATATATTTATCAGGTCCTGAATTACAAATTACTCTCCCGAATTATTAATTTGTCGCAATTAAGGACAACCCTATCAAAAAAGATTATTTTTCCCTTTATCATTACATTTGTCTTTTCTTATTAAACTATTTCTATTATCTAAAGATTTTAATATTAATTATACCATTTATCTTAATTTTATTATTAGTATCAAGTTATCATAAAATGAAAAAAAATAAATAAATAAATTTGTAACTGCCATTTTCAAAAATGATTAATTTATTATTAAAACTTATTATACTCACTTTAAACTTTTTTACCACAAAAAATACCTTCCTTTTACAATATATTGATGAAAAATTAATAAATTACTTAAATAAAAAAATGCTTCTTTTTTATGCAATATATTCATGCAAAAATCAAGAAATTACTTAAATTATTTTAAAATTTTCTACTTAATATCTTTACTTAAAAATTTTAATTTAAAAAAGTAAAGGTAAGCAAATGGAGAATATGTCATCAAATTAGTATGAATTTTTTTTTCATAATTTATTTCAATAAGAAAAATAGATTAAGTGTAATCAATAAAAAAGAGTAATATGGTCATTTAATGAAATATAATCAAGGCATTGTGGTATTTTGTAACTAAATGTGATAGTTCAAGGAGTTTTATATACAAAATATACTTTAAGGGAGTTATTTACAAATTCTAATATAGTTTAGGAGATTTTTTTACACTTTATCCTATTTATTATATTAAAATTTACTCAACAGTACATGCCATAGCTTGTCATGGATTTATCGTGGTTTCCTGCAAATTTGTGAATCCCTGTATTCATCATCCATTAAAGAATGTAGATAGCTTTAATCAACAGGATGTTCTATGGCTTCTACAGCCTATGGAGTGCAACTGTGTGTTAGTGTGTGCGTGGGTGGGGTGAGAGAGAGTAAAAATGTAACAATAATATAAAAGTAAACTATAGTGAAAATCTTTGATATAAGGCCTAATAACGTATAGTAAAAGTTAAGCCAAAATCCACGCTGATGCTTTATTCTGCATTAAAAAAAAAAAAAAAAAAAAATTGGATGGAAAGAATAGAAGAAGGGATGGGTGACAAAAAGAGACTTTACTAGATAATTTTGTCTTATACGACCTTTGTGTGTGTGTGTGTGTGTGTGTGTGTGTATATATATGTATGTATATACTCAGCTCTTTTAAAGGTCAACTTACCAGCAAATCGAGTTAATCAACCCATCATCATCTGCTGTTCTTTCCCCCCATCAAACCTACCCATCGTTATCATCCAAAATATTAATTCTACTTCCCCACAGTACACACCTGCCTCTACACCCCTCTCTCCCTCCTAACGCCCAAATTCAACCTACCCCCCTCTGCCATTCTTCTACGCACCCAATACCAACGAATCTCTCACTTCTGCTCAACACAAACACTCCCCACTTTTCTTTAGGATTACAACTCGGGCAGATTGGACGGGCTTGGCACTCATCTCAGGCTAGACTCATATAGAAAATTTTCAGCCCAAGCCCAGCCCGAGCCGAGCTGCCTAAGCCCACCTCAAAAGAATTTGTGGGTAAAAAAAAATCAATTAATGCTACACCCATGTCTTGAACTTAAAACTTTAGTAATAAATTCCAAACACAGTACTAACTTAACTAGTACACTTTTATGTCTTAAGCATAATTATAAATATATATAATATTTTCAGGTTCGGGTTGGGCTTCATCCATATCAACCCAAGCCCAACCCGAATTAAATTTGGGCTCAAAATATGTAACCCAGGCTCAAACCGAAATTAAAAAAACATTACCCAAACCCACAAAATTTCGGGCTAACTCAGGTTATTTCGGATTGGGCCCATCCAAGTTGTAGCCCTACTTTTCCTTCATAGCAACTCCAAACCCCCCAAATTCTCACCAACGGATGGCACCCACATCCTTCACGTGTCTATAGCCCCATGTAGCAGCGAAGGGAGAGCTAGAAGAGGAGGCAATGGTGGAGAGAGAGAGAGAGAGAGGGAGAGGGAGAAGAGGAGGGATGTGCGGTGGTGAGAGAGGGGATTGGCAGTGGTGGGCGTAGAAAATCGGTGGTCACGGCAGGATTTCTAGTTAGAGGTTATATATGAAAAAAAATAAAAAATAAAAAAATAAATTTATCACATATATTATAGAGGGCTGGGTTAGGCTAGGGGGCACGTGGCCCCCTGGACCTTCATTGGCTCGGTTCCGCTCAGAGGTGGAAGGGTGGAGAGAGAAGGGGGTGGTGGTGAGGACGGGTGGGTGGATAAGAGAAGGGGTGGGCGGGGATGGGGGTGGGGGTGGGGGTGGGGTTGGGGTTGGGGTTGGCTAAGTGTTTCACGCGTCAAATGAATGGGGGACCAAGTTCGTCATTCACATTCAGATATTTTATTATTAAAAAAGAGCTAAGAGACTGCAGTGCTAGCATAATTAATTTCACGTGAAAGAGTAACAAAGGTTATTTGTCATCACTCTTTAGCGGTATATCAGTTACATCTATCAAGAACCATACCTTGGCTTAAAAGTGTTACCGTCAGACATTGCATACACACGGAGGAACATGTTACACTGGTATAAATACACAAATACAAATAAAAAGAAACTATATACATTACAAGACCTGGCAAGGGGCAGAAACCTAGTTTTTCATTTTATTTTTCCTTCCCTGTTACAACCTTGGCCCAACATTCTTCGCCATCATCTTTGCCTCATATAATACAACAAAATTCACTGATTATCAAGGAAATCAGCAAAACCGGAAAACGGAAAAGGAACTAGAGGTCAAATACAGCATTTCTGGCGCAATTATGACCAGTAAGTCACATGAATGAACATGTCATCACATAAAGAAGAAACCAGAACCACCCACCTCATTTTGGTGATGGCGCTAAGAATGTGCAACACATCTACCCTTGAACTTCCCACTACAAATTGCCATTGACTACATAATACTGGATAATGAATCTCTTGCTCCCTAAATTGCACGCAACACGAATAAAACTGCAAGAGAGAACCAAATCCATGTAAGCCCCCACAAAAGTATACAACTCAAGGCGTTTACGGGTGTGTGCGAATTTCCTTTTATAGATAAACTTTCAACAAAATTAATGACAATAATGAATTGTGCATGGGAATCATAAAAATGAGTTGACATCCTAGAATTTAAATACATAACATAGTTACTATTCTAAGTTTCACATGCCCGCGCACACATCTTTTCTTATTCAACACATACTCAAGCACATTCAGGAAGTTGCTACCTCAGTGCGTACTAAGACAACTTCAATTCGATTTTTGTATCACTGCTAGGGTGATGCTTAGAAAAGCTGGTTCTAGCAGCATTACAAGAAAACCTATCATCATTCATTTCATAAATTGCAAGGCGCAACTATTTCCCAAAAATTAAAGTTCAATGTCATACAAAATTTCACTTTCACTAATTTTATTACAAAATGTGGCACAACCATTTACTATATTGATGATATGGCATGGATATAGAGTGTCAACCTTTAAGCAGAAAACTCTCATACAGTGAAATCAGTAACATAAATAATTACTTGCGTGTGCTTGCATATGAAATTTTAAGAACACAAACATCTCACGATCAGTGGACTATGTGCAGCTTAGCATCTACTAATAGACTAGAATATTGAAAAATAAACCACCAAAAACTTTTAAACTAAGAATTCGTGGAAGGGTAGAAAGCACTGCAGTAATGAAAAAGGTAAGGTGTAAAGCTTACAAACATATAATAGTAACAAGGATCAATATCCATGCGATGGGAATATCAAGGGTAATTAAAACATAATACTAGTAGGTCAAAAATATTCAATGTGGCACCAATAATGTCTCCCAAAGTATAGGTGGTTAACCATCAACCAGAACATAATCTTGATACAATGAAATAATCTGATAAACAAAATGTTTCATGGTAAACATCATCTTCTATGTAAATTGGGTAAATAGTCATGATCAGCCCAAGCACATATAAAATACATATTATGTAATATGTTTAAGTAATGGTTGATAATCTAATCATGTCAGCAAGTGAGGGTGTTTTTTTAGTAAGTGAAATTGTGTGTGTGACTGTTCGTGATGACCTTTGTGATGCATGTAATATTTTATTCCCCTCGGTGATCCCATGTCAAGACGACGCAATATGGGTCTGGAAATGGATACGTGTATGGTTCACAAACCCAAATTGGGCACCATGATCCTCAAGATATGATAATAAAAAAATAAAAATATATAAAATAGAAAAAGAGAGAAAAAATCTGAAATCCTTTTTCATTCATTCTTCATCACGTTCCTCTATCTATCATCCAACCAACAAAGGCCTTGAATACACAAATCTAAAACGAGAGAAAAATACCAAGCCTAACTAAAGAAAGACAATGCATAGACATAAATAATATTAAGTTTTAATCCATATTGATAATGATATAAGAATGCGCGAGTCAACTTATAGATGGTGCAAGAGTACGTATTCTAACTGCCCTCAGTAATTTATGTAAGAATCATTTATGTGAATCCAGCCATTAGATTATACACAATTGTCAATTGCCATCCATGCCAAATATTAGTCAATTGGATTAAAAAATAAATGGCTAATCCACGAACTCACATTTCCCTTTTTTTTTTTTTTTTTTTTTTTTTTGATAAGTAATAACACAAACTCACATTTCTCTTGATCAAATATTAAAGTAATACTTACTGTTGTTGATAAATATGAGGACATTTAATCCAGTAGTTATGTTAAATTGATTGCCAAAAAATGACTCCTACAAAAAGCTGTTGGCAAGTGTAAAATTAACTCAAGTCAGGTGTAAATACTTATAAAAAAAAGGTCAGCTGTAAATAATATTCCATGGATGTTGGAGAAAGAATCCATGAAATAATGACATTCACATACTCTGAAGCAAACACCATTCTTCTTGCTTTTAGCAGGGTTGAGATATTACTCTCTATCCATTTAAATCTAGCATTAGATTGTCTCATTATAGCCAGGTGTTAGTTATAGAGGTTAACCACCTTATCATATATTAATGCAACTGTAAACATACTTTGTGTTGGTACACATTGCAAAAATTAACCTGATGATGAGTCCATAGGATGGTTTCTCCTTCCTGAAATTCCTAAAAAAAAATCCAGACCCCCTCCCCTTTCCCTAGGCTGCTTTGTATATTCGCAACAACGGGAGTAACCCAATGACTAGAAAGTCTAGTAACCAAACGTGACTAACCAATGACTAGTATGCTAACCTAATGTCTAGTGCACTAATGAGTTTTTTTAGTAACCTAATGACTAGCCAGTATACCAATCAATTTTTTTCGGTAGTTTATTATACTGATTAGTCCTTGAATTTCATGTACAATACTTTCTTCTTCTTCTTTTTTTCTTTTTTTTGATAAGTAAAAAAATTCATAGAAAGGCGCTCAAAAGGGGAGCGCTCCCGAAGAAATACACAATACTTGCACTGACGAGAGTAAATGCAATATACTTAAACTAGCTAATGTACAAGCTACTCTAGAGTTATTTGTGTTTTTAGACTTTGATTAAAACTAAGGTACCCCTCAAAGCCAACTTGACAAAATGGCAACATGTGCAGCATTTGGTTAATGAGCACCCATAGTTACTTTCACCCCAATTCACCCAATTCCACCCCCAAGTCCCATCTCCAAGACATTGGCACCTTCGTGCACCTTGAGCCTTTAGCAACTATGGTATCAACTAAATACCCCATGTAATGAAATTTATCTTTAAATTATGACACATATATGAAGTGTTGGACACGTGTGTAGGAGTGTCCTCGAAGTGTCGGTATTTGACACGTATCCAATACATACACAACAATATCATAGAAGTATCTGCACTACTTAGCTAATATGAGAATGTTAAGATTTGGATTAACATGCATTTCAAACTAAATAAATAGATAAGAAATTGTAAATGACAACCCCACAAAAAAGTGGAGACTTGATTTGTCAAGTGCAAATCGATGGATTGTGAGTCGATGCGTTCAAAATCCATGGATTTGTTTTTTGTAATTTGCAAATTAGCTTTTTTGTTTGAGGATCTCAAACACTTGACACCAACATCACTTGACACAGAGTCAAATTCCACTTCACACACATCCCGAGATGACTGTGTCATGCGTGTAAGGACATTCACTGCAGCAGAGTTTATGAAATGTCCTACTAGCTTCTTCTTTTTTTGATAAGTAAAAAAATTAGTTAAGAAATGTCCTACTAGCTAAATACTGATTACCACAAAGATTCAAACTCATAACCAGTGCAAGGAAATTTAGATTACTTACCATCAAGCTGGCCATCTTTTTTTGAACCTTTTCACTAGATTGTTGAATTAAATTGCATTATGTTTCACTAGATTACATTAAACAAATAGGCAATAGCAAATGAATATACTTATTCAAGGAAAAAAAAAAAATGAATATACTTAACGAATATTCATATAAACACTTTCACAAATTATAAAAAGTTAGACAATGCTGACATGTAATAAATTAACATGATCATGCAATAATGAGATATATGTACATGCAAGATACCGACATTCCTTGTTTCAAAAAGTTTACACTTTGACTCTCTCACACTTTAGCTCACGCTCTGAGAGACTTGGGTGAAGCCTAAGTCATGCCATGTATATCGAACCTCGAATAACCATTTTCCAAATAATAAATAACATTCGCTTGGACCTCAGTAAGCTACAATTTGTTTAAAAAAGAAATTATAGGGCCTGGGAAAAGAAAACCACCATTAATAGCCTAGACCTTGATTGAATCCATTACTATCCTATCAGAACCCATAAAACCTCAACAGTAAAAGGAATTCTACTGGTGAACAAATGAAGAAATGTAGAGGATTAAATGCTCAAAAAAATATCAGTAACATTTTAATGAACATTGCTGAATGCTGACTATTCACATGATGCAGGAAAACAAGCAGATCTCTCTATTTTCTTAACCATACTTTCAAGACTGATAACAAATACGTAGTATTTTAAAAACTGCAGCCTTTAAAAAGACAAACAATCAATGAGAATAAAACTAAAAGATCAGTAATGGTTCACGCAAGCTTACCAGCAAAGCAGAGGAGAAGAGCAATTGAAACAATCATTTGAATGGGCCGACTATATTGCATCTGATACTGAGACCTTTGAAGCTGTCTCTGGATAGCTCCATACCAACCATAAAGTTGCTTGTCGTAACAGTCATTAACACCATCAAGGCAACTCTTACATCTTTCATAGCACATATTAGTGCCCTGTGTGTAACAAATCAGGTTAAAAAAACTAATTAACAACATAATTGAATTGAGAAGTCAAAATTCAGACTTCACTAACATATTCTAATTAAATAGACACAAAATTTTCCATTCACCCGAGTCAACTGCTGGGATTGTGATAATGTGGTATCAGCTTCCTGGTGGCGATCCGGAAGCTTCAACTTCCTGTACCCATTCTTTGAAAACTTCAACTTGGATGCAGTCTCCATTGTACTCAGGAACCCTGAAAAACTGGGTATCCTTTGAGGGGGAACCTCAGGCTGCCCATTGGGGGAGCTATGTGGAAAAACATCATCAGCAACTGCAATCTTCCATGCACTAATGTCTGCACTAGCACTTGCTGTTCTCCGATGTCCAGACAACTTCTCTTCCCTAGCCTCCAATAAACCCCACTCCACTGAATTACACGAATTCTTTGAACTCAGTGGCTTCAATTGTTTATCAATCTCTTGTTGGTTCGCTGTTTGTTCGTCCCCAATATGAATTTTCGTAGTGATCTTCTCCACAGACGCTGCTGGTCCCGACAGGAACAAAGCAAGTTCACTACTTTCTCTGTCATCCAAGCGAGCCCAAGGGAGTGGGGGCTTGCCCGTAGAAAGGGTTGATTCTTGTAATGAAGTTTCGATTTTTGAAATCTGGCTCTCAATTGCCGTGATGAATTCACGATGCCTGACTTTTGCATCATCACCTAAGCTATTAGTGTAGCTCAACCTGACAGCCCTCTCAAATTCCTCCAACTGCATAGTAATCCCAATTATCAGTTTAACCCTCATATGAAATAACAGGAATGAAGATAAATGGACAATACATACATATATACATATATATATGTGTGTGTGTGTGTGCGCGCGCAGATATAGAGACATGATGATTGATGATAGAGAAAAACGAGAGATGACCTGCCATTTGGTAGTGCCAAGAGCAGTTTGCAGGTCCCTGTGAAGCTCTTCCAAATTCCACATACCGGAAGCCTCTTTCCTTGCGTGAATCCAGGTTCTATAAGTCGATTCCATCCTAAACAACAGCACCAAACAAACAAAAAAAAAAATTGATATAGATCAAACTCTTTTAAAAATAAAAAAAAAAAAAAAAAAGGGGGAATTACCAAATCAATTTCAACAATCATACAAAATTGAAAATTAGAAAAATTCAAACAATACCCCATAAAACAATAAATACATACATATTCGTACATATATGTTCGTGCATGAACATACATACACACACAAATTAGAACAGAACAGAACCCTAATAAGACAAATAAATGGAACCTGTCGGCGGATTCCTGAACTTCCTCTGCTGCAGAGAAGAACGGATCTTTCTCCCACCGATCAAAATGCGACGCCATATCCCAAAATTTCAAATGCTTTGCTAGATTTGGAAGAAAAACTTCCAAAAAAAAAAATAGATACTTTTTCAACAAATGAAAGAGTAAAGCAAAATTCAAACCCTATCTGATAGATTCTATGTTTTTATTTGAAAATTACAATCTTTAGATAGACATATAGAAAACCAAGATCAATAATTCAAATGGGTTGTATAATAAAATCCCAAAAATTGTGTATACGCGTGGAGAGAGAAAATTTCTCTCTTCGAATAGAGAGAGAGAGAGAGAGAGAGAGAGAGAGAGAGAGACAAGGAGAGAGAATAATCTGGAGGAGAATCGAGTAACTGCAACCACGCGATTGAACTTGGTAAGTATGGTTGTCTTCAATGCGTATCGTATTCCTGGAAGGAGTAAATATGAAGTTACGATGTCGTTTTCCGCTTCATTGCGTCGGCTGATTTAGGTGTGCGGTCAAACCTATCGTGCGACCAGCAGACATAGATGCCTCCAACCGCCTCCAACCGAAATGTGCGTTCAAAGATTAATAAGTTACTACTCCATTATTTTGTTTTTTGCTAAGGTATAAAGTTGCCATTTCGATTAAAAAATAATTTATTCTTTTATTTTTTTTATTTATGATAATGTTGCCATATGATGGGCTAAGTCAAACGTGTGTTCAAATTTCCATCATTTTTAGAAGCACTAATTTTATAAGATTGTAGATTTTCAAACCCTTAAATGATACAATTTTAAGTGTAATGCACCTCTTTTTCTTTTTTCTTTTTTCTTTTTTTTATTTATTAATTTGGGTGTTCAAGAAGGCACAAACGTTTAGGGCTCTTCAACAACACAACTAATTCTCGAAAATCTGGAGGCTAGCCACAATGAACACCTAGCGGGACTCGAACCCAAACCTTAAGTTTACTAGGCTCTAAAGTCCAGCGACTAAACCAAAGTGAATAGTGTAATGGCACCTTTTTTTTAGAAGTTTAATATAAAAACAGGCACACATTATTCACATGTTTCTATTAAGGAATGAATAGAATCTCAATTTTTTTTTTATTTCTTTATATTATACCCTTTCTAAAAATTTTATTTCCTTCCTATTATAATATAAAGGTTCTCAAAATTTTTATTTCCTTATATTATAACTTTCAAAATTTTTTATTTCTTTATATTATAACCTTCCCAAAAATATTATTTCCTTCTTATTATTTTCTTATATTATAACCTCCCTAAAAATTTTATTTGTATATATTATTAGATTCTAATCAATAGAGATTTTAATAGGGCTCAAAAGATTTCTATCTTTATCTTAACCCCTTATTAAGGTTTCTTTTTTTCTCCAAAATTTGTAAAACTTTTTATATTCTTATTTTAACTTTTATCTTCTTTGTTTGTTTATTTCTGACATATTTTTTCTTATTATTTCTGACATATTTTTTCATCATTTTTCATTAAGTATAAGTTGTATAACTCTCATCAATTATGTGACAAAAAGATTAATTGGATTGACTATATATTAAATATTAAAATGCCACTTTTATGTTAAGTAATGATAGGCATCGCAAAAGAGAAAACTCAAAAACTCCCTGAATCTGATTTGGCTAAGTCACGTCAGAATTAAAATAAAAAAAATAAAATAAAGTCATCTCTTACATAGTATAAATGAAAAGGAAAAAAAAGAAAGACAAATATATATATGTGTGTGTGTGTGATGCTTTCTCTTTCCCCTCACAAACAGGAAATCAAAAACTCTTTAAAATTGGTTGGAGAGAGCAAAAGAAAATAGCCACAAACCAGAAATTATTTGTTCCCGTATTCCATAAATTTAAATTTACAAAGTAAAAATTCATAGAACTATACAAATACAGTATTATTTATATTATGTATAAAATAAATATATATTGTTTTATAAATTATATTAAAGAATTTTTAATGTATAATTTATTCAAACTATTCAAGTTCTACAAAATGAATTTGCCTTTTACAGAAAAAGTAGGGGTCCGAGAGTAATTTTATAAAAGGCGACGTTTGAGGAGAAATGTTTGTATACATGCAATTTTGGAGAGTTTTTAGTTTGGGAGGGGAAAGAGAAAGCAACATGTTTTTTTTTTTTTTTTTTTTATCATTTATATCATGTGAGAAGGGACTCTTTCTTTTTTAATGCCAACGTGACTTAGCCAAATCAGATTCGAAGAGTTTTTTTTAGCTTTGAAGTATATAAGATGAATAATTGTCTGTGGAATGAGAGTGTGAGCACAGGGTCACAATATTTTACATTATTTGATAAAGCAATACAATTATATTTTTTACCACACGAAAAGGGGATACTGCTAAGAGTGACAATACTAATTATAACACAACTTGAACATGATATGCCATAAGTGAGTTTAGGTTTGTCATAATTATGTTCAAATTGTAACTAAGTCGACACACTAATTAAATCTGTAGTATATTTATTGGATTTGCTAACTCGTTTATAACCATATTAGCCATGTTTGCCTAAGTTATTCTGACTTTTTTTAAAAATGAAACTAATCTATACAGACCTCATTTTTTAGTGATGGACCGTCAATTGCACTAACGGACATGTCTAATTTACTGAAATACCTTCAACTTTCTATAATAAATGATTAAAGTAATCTAGTATTTATTTATATATATATATAAAGCAGTACACGGAAAAAAAATCTCAAACAGTTGGTACCGCAGCCAAGACCATTTGCACCAAAAAAAAAAAAAAAAAAAAAACCATCACCACTATCTACAACAAAAATAAATAAATAATCATTTTAATTATTATATATGCAAATCATGAAATCATTTTATCAAAAAAAAAAATGATCAGGTACATCCCCTCTAACCCTGCATCCTTTTTCAATCATTTTATGTTTACGTGCACAATAGGCCGACAAATGGTAGAGAAATGATCATGTAAAAATTAAACTTAATGTATATTTTTGTGAAAAATCACAAGTATATGGTAAAACAAATAATAATAATAATAATAATAATAATAATAATAATAGATTTGCGTGTATAAAAGGAGAGCAAATTACGAAAAAGGGTTGGCACTATTTCCAATTTCTTGTTTGTTTAATTTTAATTTTGTCTTTTTTATATACTCCGTACTATACAACTAAATTACATCATAATGCCATTTTTCTATTAAAAAAAAAAATTGTTTTCGCTTATGTTTTCGTAACACAAACATATTTAAACAAAATCTCTCGTCAATATGCCCATGTGTGGGAAATCACTCTTTGGAGCGCAGCTGAAGCAGCGACGAACGGCGACACCAGCGATGGGCAGAGCTCCAATGCACGCGGCCAAGCAATCAACCCCATTTGCCCTTTCTCACTCCTCTCTTCACCTTCTCTTCTAGGAGCATGCATTATGTAAGTATCATCATTGTATATCTATTGCTCACTGACCCATCTCTCAATTTCAGCATTTTTATGCCTAATCATCTAAATGTGATAAAGGGTATCTTTCGAAATTCAACCAAGTTAGAGCAATTGTTAGTATTTCTTCCTAGAAGCATTTGGATGTTCGTCCTTGTATGTTAATTTTCTTTTCTTTGTTTAATTTATCTAAATTAAGATCCATGGATTTGAAAGGAATATATTTTGATTCTAATGATATAAGAAGTAACTTAAACATGGGTTTATAACTTGAACTTATATTTCAGTAAGATACATGAATGGTTGTGGATATTTGTTTCAATTTTCAAATACTTATTTTGTTTAGGTTTATTTTTAGGACAATTCTTGTTGGGACTTACTTGGAAACTTGGACACTAGGGATTTCTCATTCCTTGTCTACATGACGTCTAACAATGTACATACAAGAGAGTCCATTTGTTAGAGAGATGGGTTGGTGAGGTTTCAAGGTGTGTAGAGATGTGAGAAAGAAATAGAAAAATGCTGTGGAGCTTTTCTTTAAGACTCGAGACACTAGGTGTGAGCGGGTAGCATAGGGGTGTTGATTTGGAGCTTTGAACCTTCAAGTATGGAAATGGGCATGAGTTCAAGCTCAGGTTTTGATTCAAGTTGTCCCTTGAATTCTATACCTATTTTTAATTTCTCTATGCTTTGTTGTGGATTATCCCTTTTCATCTATGGACATAAATAGGATTGTGTTGAACCACATTAAAAAAAAATATGGTGTGTTAACTTTTTGTTGATTATTTTCTTATTTAATTATTATTATTATTATTTATTATTTTAAATCTCAGGGATTTAAACTTTACTGTATGTAATGGCAAAATAGCCATCATTACCGTAGTCCGATATGCCGGCGAGAAAAAAATTAATGCATGTGACACCAATATATAATGATCATTAAGGAAAATGTAATGGTCATTATAGCCAGTATAAGCTACTATCATATCGCGATCACAGTTACAATTTTTGTAATGGCCGTTGTGCCATTATGTGATGGTGTTACTGGTGATAGCTTACTTTATTAATTTCTCATTTTGCACTTTATTCTTGAGTTTTTTCTTTGTATATTCATATGTAGAGCTTAAGAACAGTTTTTAAAATTTTTTTGATAAGTAAAGTGTATATAGAAAGGCGGTCAAAAGGGGAGCGGTTCCCACTTACAACTGCACAAAAGCCAAAAGGAACACTATAATCTCAAGCTATAGAAGGTATACAATTTACATATTAGATGGTTGAAGAAGCAAATTTTAAGGGTTCTTTTTTATTTTTAGAGAGATCATAATTTTTTGAAAGGAAAAATATACCAACTTGGTTAAGGTAATATTCATATTTTGGGGGCTTTCATTTTCTTTAAACCTACGAGTAAGGAATGAATACACTACGGATGATCTTGTTATATATTTAACATAAATCTTGTTATTGATCTAGCTTAACATGGTACCATTATTATTGTTTTTATCTCTTCCTTTTTTTAGCTGTTCATTTAATTAGTTAGTATGTATTATGTGTTATTTTTATTCTTATAAGCTATGTTTAAAATACATAACAACATGACAGTATTCTTTTAATTTTTACTGTTATGTTAATTAATATATAATAGCTTGTTAAACAATAACTTAAAATGTAATAGTATGTTATATTTTATTTCTGTTTGGATAATCAGGTGTCATACCATTGACATTAACAATTAGAAACTTCTAAATGTAATAAATTGGAGCCAAAACTTGAGTATCATTCACTTTTGAGTGGTTTGCCGCTGTTGAAAAAATATGTCTGCAACCTTTATGTGTTGATTGATACTCCTGATATTGTTACACCATGATTGTCATCCCCAATAAAGTCAAAAGAGAGGGAGATCCTCACTTGGAAGGATATGGGACTTAAAAAGGTTTAAATGGATATAATCCACAATACCCATGTTGTGTCCACAACTTTAC